TCAGATGCTCTTCTGCAATACGTTGGTTCTACCAAGTGGTTATTTAAGTTATTGTTGCCTTTCTGTCAAAGTAATCTGGCCACAACTCCCTGTTGTCTGGCCAGTGAAGGTGTAAAAGCTCTAATATTATAATGTGATTTATGATGTCCTGTTTTGTTAGTACAAATATTTTTTTAAACTCTCTTTAACTTTGAGTTCTGATGCTTTCTGTTTCAGCAACATGATATTTTCTTGAAGACAGAAGAAGATAACACATGCTTTTGTATATATTTATTCATTGCTTTAGTGTAGCAGGACTCTTGTTTTCTTGTGGACATTTACTGACACCTAGTGGACAAAGGTGAATGTGTTCTGGCGTTTTATTATGCTGCAGTTAACAGTATGAACGTAAAACTATGAAAGATATCATCCTTTGTAGTTTAAATTCGCCCTAGGTTTGAATCATCAGTATCATTTTTTGCGAACGCCTCTATTTTAGTTGCTAAAAACAACAGAAAAAAGACATCTTAAAATTCTCTCACGACATTATCTACATTTCTGACGTCGATGTTTTATACAGTTAGATTTTAACAAAGTAAACACTTTCAGTCAGTTGTAACCACCACGACCTTTTTTTCACTGCTGAAGTGACTGAATATCTAAATAACAAACTGCAAATATGCATCAAATGTACTTTTTATTGGCCTGTTCTTTTGTTAAATATAATATATATGTATAAATATAAAATGCTAACGATTTACCCTATAATTGTACTGGGATTGTACTGTTTCTTTTTAATGCTGCTGTCATTGTGCGACATTTTCCTCATCATATTGTTTCTCTTATTATCCACTGGTGAAAACAAGTTTCTTTGAACACAGTCTTTTCATATAAACGGAAGAGATGATGGCGTCAGATTAATTTTAAGACTTCCACTTCCTCTTTTTCTGTTTTTTTTTTTTAAACCGCACAGTTCACTAGATGTCTGTCAGCTGGCCCGGGGCTACAACCAGGGGATGAATATTTAAAGATATTCTTTGATTTGTACTTATGCCATCATTCCTAATGACTTCTTGAGGAGGTTTTAAGAATTCCATGAGTAATTTATGTACCTGTGATCTATAAGTCTCGAATCAGACACCTTGTGATTTAAGCACGTTCATCTTGGATTCACTCAGGACCAAATGAGCAACAGACCAAACAAGAAAAGCTTCTGCATGAGGAGACTAAAGCCAGGTAACGCATATAAATCAGCTGACTAACAAACAAAACCAAACACACAGCTTTGGAGGACGTCAGCACAGCTGGCAATTAGTCGGGGGCAGAAAGAGTATTTGTAGTTTATATACGTCTCTAACTGCTATAAATTGAAACAACTGGCAAAATTACTTACATCACTGACTTTGTTAAGATAAGCTCACACCCGCATTATGTTTAGTTTCGGAAATGATACCTCTGTTGAACTCATACTTGTTTTGTCCTCACACCTGGACAACTAACCAGCACAGGCCAGCAGTGAAAATTAGACCGCAAACGACAACAACAGCTCTGAATGTATTTGCTTCTAAAGTTGCAGGAAAGTACGGGAGATTAGTCTTTCATATCAGCCGTGTCAATATTTTCATTCTCAGCAATCATTTACAGGCGTTTCGCTGCAGGACATTCGGACTTTTGGAACTGCGCTTCTATAATTAGTAGAGTTTGCTCGTTTTGTACTGAATTTGTCTTTGTTAAACACGATCAGCATAATAAAGTCTGTCCTCCTTTTCCTGCTACTCCAGCTCTAGAATACTGCAACCACGTTAGAAGATGTCACGTCATCGTTTAATGCTCACATGATGTCATCACCTGTTTTATTCAGTCTTCACATCCATTTCCTGTTTAATCTCATTCAATCTGCAACATGAATTCGCCTTCTGTTTTCAATTTTACTCTCAATTACTGTTCTTCTATTTTAAAAATAAACTGCACTTTTCACATTATTTCTTCAGGCATTACATTTGGGTGGTAAGTAAGCTAGCTGCTGTTTCTCCTTTCTGTGAGACTTTCTCTTTGTAATACTCATCAGTCTCAGCATATTATACAGAATCTGAATTATCATTGTCTGACTATAATCACGTCTCCACACTAAGCTCTTACTAAAGGAGACTTACAACTAAGAAAATACTCACCAGAGAAAAGGCCAAATGAACAGTGAGTACGGCTACACAGAACCACTCTAGAAATCAACTGAGGTTAACATGAACTGAATTTAAAATCCATTTATGGCAGTTCAACTTCATAGATTTTTACAATAGACTCACCGGTTCAAGTTTTTTTATGCGCACAAAGCTAAGTTATGTATTGATTACTTGGGGACACCTGTCTTTGGTCTGTATTCTACCATTAACTGAATTACAGTACATTAAACTTCAACTTAAACGCCTACAGTACGCTGAATATAAACGACTGTGGTTAGGGTCTTTCCCAACCTCCATCTGTACCTGAAATTCTCAGAAAAGCCTTGCTGTCCGCTCATGTGATCCAGCTCAGGGTGGCTAAAGTGAACTTTGAATGCTGTTATGTTGGAACTGTGCAAAAAGTCAAGCAGCACACACAAGCACACTTTCAGAAGCACAAAATGATTCACACACTCATGCTGCATGTGTTTCAGCACAACTGTCATTTTCACTAATCTATCAATAGGTCTACCGTCGTGTACAGACATGCTGTACGTGAATAAGTTAAGACAACTTTCAGTGCTCATTTTATGAATACAAGTGAAAATAGATATTATTCATGTCCACTTGTTTGTTCTGTTGTTGTCTTTCTAAAATTGTCTGTATTTCTTGAAGTTGACCAGGTTTGCTAAACTTGCTAAAAAGAAAAAAAAACATTAAAGAAAACAAACTGCACAATTAAAGTTTTCACAACCAGGCAAGAAACAACTTGACTTATAAGAAACCCACGGGAGAAATACAACAAATGTTAAACATTTACAACCAACAGCAACATGGTGAAAAGCATCAAAGACTCCAGGACATCACCGAGCCACACTGCAAACAACTGACTAACAACTGGAATGTGTCATATTGTCAGTATGATAAACGCCAGCATCTCGCATACTGTAGTTCACACAAAGTGCACGACCTGAGAACACTCACCAATGTAAAGATGACAGCAGACTGATAGTAGACTGAATTTCCACCAGAAACAACATGATCTATGTGGAAATGTCACAGCTGAGGCTCTGTTGCATCTCAGCAGCAAAACAGAAGACATTAAAGGATGGAAACTTAAATGTCAGATTGAATTCATTTGCAAATGTTATTTAATTGTATCCTTTAGGTAACAGAGAGCAAAGTCACGTTTGCTGTATGCAGTTTGTAGCCTAATCCATGATTCTCTGCTCTGTGCTTTGGTGGTTTGAGTAAACCTTCTTGTTTTTATAAATAGAGCAGAGTGAAAGTGAAAGTAAAGGTGAGAAAGCAAAGTGCAGCTTGTACACAGTTCAAAACACAATGTGTTTTAGAGTGTTTATTCATGTTATAATGTAGGTGCACTCTGTGTGAGAATCTGCTGTTCCTTTACTGCTTGAGAGGAGCAGAAGGCAAACGCTGTCACAGAAAACAAAGAAGAGCAGCAAGAAAGGAGCACTAATTGGTTTACAGTAGCATAGAAGCCATTTGGTGTATTTCACAGTCTCGTGTGTGCTGATGGTTGTGGCTTGATCTCTTTTGTTTCCTATTGCCATAAACGTTCATCCACTGATTTTAAATTGCACGTAGAGCACCTCTAAATACAATTTTGAGGAACTTGTCTTTAACTTCTGTAGCTCTATTTAATGCTACTCACTTATCCTCAGTTATAGTATTTTAAGGATGAAATTACTTTGTATTGTTAGATCTGATAGATGTAGCTACTAGTTAAAACATAATAAGCTTAATATGCTGTTGAAGATTGACTAAGACATTGCCAAGCAACTTTCCCTTGCCTTAATGCCTTAAGCTATAAAGATGCAGGAGGATTAGGTCATTTATGATAGCAAAAGGCAAGATTACCCAGAAGTGATTATGATTTTAACAGTCAGTAAATACACACACTGGACATTTTATAAGGTAGAATGGCAATACCAATTTTACTTATATAGGACATTTGATTATATGTAAATTAAATGTGCTTAAAACAGAAAGTAAAAGCATAAAAAAATCACTGCACGTTTACTATGCCTTAAGGCAGTGAAAACAAAATAAAACAATAAAAATATGCACAGCTATTAAGTGTAATGGCCTGTGTGCCTGTTTGAACGTACACACAGGTGTAAAAGTAGTTAGTTCCAAAGAACAGAACCACAGTACCTGAAAGCACCTTCGGCACACTTGGATCTGATTCTAGGAACATTTGAAAGAGCTGCACGAGATTACAGGAGAGATCATCAGGTGCAGTACTGGTACTTTCTAGTACTTTGCTGGATGCCGTTTTGGCTTCAGAACTGCCTTAATTATTTGTGGCAAAGATTCAGAAAGGAGCTGAAAACATTCCTCAGAGATTTTGGTCTATGGCATTTAGTAAAGTAATACAAAATAAAAGAGTCTGATCTCTTTGTACGATTCAGTCTGGTTTAAAACGACTTACTTAATGTTCAGTTACACACTCTCTGCAGGCTTTATGAATTGTTTATCATCGTTTAATGGTTTATTAACTTATTATTATTAATGACAAATGAATTGTTTTATTTTACTTATTAATTCTACTAATTTCTCATACATTTTTAATTGCATACTTAAGTAATATATGTTATTCACTAACTTCTCATAGCTCACAGCCTGGGACCCCACTGGCTGCTAATGCTTTCTTTATAAAGAGGGCGAAAATTAGATATTAGCAATTAACTGTTAATTACAGTTTTCATAAAGCCTTGTGAAAACTGTGGGCTACTTACACTCCTGGCGCATTTCATAACCTCACGCTTTCCACCTTAACAGTATGAGGCAATCTTGCACAATGTTGCGCGTGCCGCCAGACATTTTCCACGTGTCAGCACAACCGAGACGCGACGAGCCGGGAGCCGGTGAGGCAGACTGCCGCGGGGAAATACACGAGGCAACGATCGTGCAAAAAGATGTGAGTGCATTCTGTCAACTTACTATCTGTGGCCGACATGTCTCCCAGGGATTTTTCTGGACGTCTGTGGTGTGTTGTGCACGTAGGCTTTGCGTTATGCCCAGTGTCAAAGCAAATCTGTTCTATGTTCTCTGCAGACCCTTGTTCCCACATGGTGATTCGTGTGTGTGTGCTCCCCTCCCATGCCCTCGTATTGGGCGCATCCTAATGGCCAGTTTCCTACCTGGCGACCACCTCCTCCACGCGCCACGCTCGTCCCGTTATTTAAAGAGCCCACACGCGAAGTGACATCTGCTTTCTGTTATATAGGAGATCGATCGTTAATCATCAGACTGATTTCTCACTTCATAGATTAATTTTACAATAATCAACCAAAAACCACAATGGACAAAGGTATGAGCAGATCAAATGTATTCATTTTATTTATTTATTTATT